GTTTTATGGACATTTGAAATCAATATTAACCTCACCCTACTAATTCGGTCAATATCAATTTCTTTGGTCCATAAAATCTCATATTGACTTCTACAAAAGACTATAATTGTATAATATTTGCTCCAAGTTAGGCTACCGGAAGGGATAACATAATTGTTTTCTGTAAAAAAGCCGCAATTGATATGAAAATGAAAGTGCGCAAACGAGAAAAAAAAAGGAAAAGCTATACGAAAGTGCGCAAATGTTAATTTCCCACGCAATATGAGGTTTGAACTCACATTCTTGCAACAAATAAAAAAAAAAAACACTGACAAGGAATGGGACATCACTTTAACATGCCCGAGGGATTCGGCATTGATCGCGGCTGGTCGTGGCAAAAAGTGGTCGTACTAGCATAGTGATAAGGTCGTAGAAAGATCGTAGTGGCAGCGGCGAATAGCGTAGCAACGTCGTGGTGTCTGCGTGGCATGATTGTCTATTATTTCAGTCAGATTCTGATTACGCTCGCCCTACGATCATGCCAAGACAGCACAACGACCTGTACGATATTACTACGCTTTTACCTCGTTTGTGTAACGTTTTCACTTCGCCCCCCCCCACATTCATACCACGTCCTTACTACGAGTATGACGATCGTGATACAAGTTTTCTTTGACTTTCTGAAAATGCATCAATTTCCCGAAGATAACCTTGGCCTTATCCAAACTATTTAGTGATTCTTTCGTCTACGGTTTCTTCAGCTCGAAAAATAAACAAAAAATTATTGCAACGGCAAGGCCAGTTTTCATTGCATATTATTAGTTTAAAGAAAACTGTATTATTCATTTGTTTCCATAATAAACATAATTTATTTTTTATCTTTTTTATGAGATAAGCAAACTAGATTTTTTTCATAAATGTGACGGGAAAATAGAATGAGGTCGATGTGACGTGGTACAACCGCGTGGCACACTTAGGAGAAACGTGATGCGTGTGGTTGAGACGTATAGATCGTAGCTGTACCGTTAAAGGCAGACTATGGCAAGCCGTTCTGTCAAAACTATGTTAATAAGCCATTTTTCGAAAAAAATACACACTGAGATTTAAGAAAAACACACTGAGATTTCAAAAATACACAGTGAGATTAAATAAACTGAAAAACACACACTAAGAATTGAAAATTACACACTGAGATTTGTGCGCATAAAATGTGCGCACAAATCTCAGTGTGTAATTTTCAATTCTCAGTGTGTGTTTTTCAATTCTTAGTGTGTAATTTTCAATTCTCAGTGTCTTTTTTTTCAGTTAATTTAATCTCAGTGTGTAATTTTCAATTCTCGGTGTGTAATTTTCAATTCTCAGTGTGTGTTTTTCAGTTTATTCAATCTCAGTGTGTGTTTTTCAGTTTATTCAATCTCAGTGTGTATTTTTGAAATCTCAGTGTGTAATTTTAAATTCTCAGTGTGTAATTTTAAATTCTCAGTGTGTGTTTTTAAGTTTTTTAATCTCATTGTGTTTTTTTAAATCTCAGTGTGTAAATTTTTCCAAAAATGGCTTAAACATAGTTTTGACGAGAACGGCGTGCCATAGCAGACGCGGTAAAATCGTGACATAATCGTGGTAGAAGTGTACTGGTTTTGTGTAAAACGTGGGCAACAGGAGAAAATTAATTGTAATGTAATTATATAGATTCAAAAGTAGACTAGATACATGCTTTATTTAGGGAAGGAAACTGTTACAATGTCTATTACTAATGACTAACTACCACAAAACCAAATTAAACATAATATACAACATCCTCAACATTACTCAACGTTTCAATAGGGTTGTCCATGTTGCTGGTAACTTCCTGTGTTGTAGTTTCAATACCGGAATACACACATTCACCGATGTCCGTGGTTCTATCGTTCAAAACTGAATGATCAAGATTGTCATTGTTTATTTGTTGTCCTGTTGGCGCTAAATGTGGGATTGATACAGTAGTTTCGCGTCCATCAGACAGTCTAACATGAGCATAAGATGGATTGGCTTCCAAAAGATCTACTTCCTCGACGAGTGGACCATACTTAGTCGCACGCACAAGCTTTTTCATTAAAACCGGTCCAGGGTGCGCTAGCCAAGACGGAATGCATTGGCCAGATGATGATCTTCTTGTAAAGTTGATAAACCTTTTATGTGGAGTAGTGTTTATTGAAGTACATTACAAACTTCGAACAGAGTGCAGTGCATCTGGCAATACAATCTCTCACTGACTCTCTTTCAGTCCAAAAGATTCTAACGCTAGAGTAACAGCTTTCCATATGATACCGTTATAGCGTTCACATTGTCCATTGCTCTGTTGGCTATATGGCGTTGTCTTGCTAGTAGCTACTTCATGCGATTGGAGAAAAGTTTTGAGTTCGGCGCTCATGAAAGACTGACCACGGTCCGAGTGAATATAAGCAGGCATACCAAAAAGAGCAAATAACTGTCGTAAACACTGAATAAAAGTTGCGCTTGTCATATCGGTGCAAGGAAAGGCAAATGGGAATCTTACAACGGTAAGAATGTACTTCTTCGTACTAACAGACGGCAGTGGTCCTTTAAAATCAATGCTTAAACGTTCAAAAGGTTGTGTAGCTTTCACAAGAGGTGATGCATACTAAGGTTTCACTTTTGCACAAATCTGACATTGTTTGATTGTTCTCGTGACGTCATCAACAGAGTAAGGTAAGTTCTTTGAACGGACGAAGTGAAGAAGTCGGATTGATGCCCGGATGGCAAAGCGCACTGTGCAATTCAGAAAGAGCATCTGAGCTGACGGAGGAGCAGTAGGCTCGAGAGAAGCAATCGGCTGACTCATTGTCTCGTCCAGGACGGTATTTTATATAATAGCTGTAGCAGCTCAATTCAGTTCTCCATCGAATTATTTTGTCTTTTTTCACTTTACCGTGCTTCTTTGAATCAAACATATAAGAAACTGCTTCCTGATCAGTGACAAGAGTGAAGTGTTTCCCACTAAGTAAGTGTCTCCACAGCTTCTACTATTGCACATGCTTCCTTTTCTACAGATGAGTGTCTTAATTAATGAGCATTTAAAGTTCTCGAAAAGAAAGCAACAGGCCTTCAGCCCTGATTGAGACTTCCGGCTACTGCAGAATCCGAGGCATCGGTTTCTACGACAAAATGAATAGCTTCATCAATTGCACTGATGTTTGCGTTTTCAAGATTGGATTGCAGATCATCGAATGCTTTCACTGCAATAGAGGCTAACGGAAAAGATGTAGCGTAGCATTAGCCAAAGGGTTGATTTTGCCTGAGATTCTTGGAATCCATTGACTATAATAAGAAAACATTCCTACGGCTCTTTTTACCGATTTAGTACTGTGGGGAACATGGAGTTCCCTTAGCGGCTTCATTCGCTTAATGCTAGTACTTTACGTGATAAAAGATCTGCAGCCGCAGATGATTAGACCCTACCTACAAGCCTGGATGAACGCTCTCAGCAGTTTTTGACTATGCAGAAGTAGCTCTTTGATCATATCCGACCAGAAGGTGACAGGGAGCTTGATGAATTTATAGAATGGCTTAAGTCAGCACTGCGCAATCTTGAGCTACTCCTCTGGAGGAGATGACAGCGGGAGCTGTCCGACGTTATGTACAGATGTATAATTGATAATGATGCTTTCAGGACAAAGAACAAGCTTCCTTGTCAGTCTTCTGCCGGTCTATTCAGTCAGCCTGGAAACTACAGCTATCCTGGTACGTCTGTGAGTTTTTTTTCCAACCTCAGCATCAAAAACCATGGCAGCCTGTACAGAATCCGACCTCGGTCTGGGGCTCGATGGACTCACCATGGATCCAGCAACAGTTTCCAAGTATGCAATCCATCTGCCAATCAGAAGACCATGAGCCCAGCAAACAAAATAACGTTAGTATAACGTTGGTATAACGTAAACTTTATGTTATATTTACGTTACTGAGAGACGTTTATTTTACGTCATTTTGTAGACTCCGATCAACGTGGAAGTAACGTTAAAAGTAACATTACAAGAAACATAAATCAAACGTTATAGTAACATATCTGCTAACGTTGTTTATTAACGTAAATCCAACGTTAAAGTAACATTTCTTAGAATGTAATTTTTTTACAGAAGACTAACGTGGTGGTTACGTTTTTGAGAACGTTTATTTTTTATGTAAAACTAACATTAAAGATACATCTTTTTATAACGTTATTAATTTATGGAAGACTAACGTTTGATTAGTATTTCTTACAACGTTGTTTTTTTACAGAAGACTAACGTGGTGGTAATGTTTTTTTAACAATGTTTGTTTTTACTCAAAACTAACGTTAAAGTTACATTTCTGATAACGTTATTTATTTACAGAAGACTAACGTTAGAATTATATTTTTTACAACATTATTTATTTACGTAATATTAACGTTAGAGTAACACTTCTGATAACGTTATTCATTTACTGAAGACCCACATTAGTGAAATGTTTAAAAAAAAAAAAATCATTTACTTGCGTTTACCATAAATCAATTCCTGTCTTGTGAAATCTTAATGTTTTATGTTATTCCTGAAATTCTGTCTAGATGGATATGGCAGATGTCTGTTTCTGTTTTATTCATTCACAACTAATTTAGTGAATAGACATCTATGTTGTTGAAGACTATATGCTATATTATGTTCCCATCTAAATATAATTTGACTACTTTTGTTCATCTAGTTGCTGTTGCATTGATGTATACCTCACGTCTAAAAGAGAGGCGGGAGATACCTATGGGATAGTTAAACTAGAATAGTCGAAAAATAGCCGACAGTGCTTAAGGCACACTTCAAATTAAAGGGTCATCTTTTAATCTAAAGATTTACTTAAATGGTATTCCAATACAATTAAATGCACTCTTCTTTTTTTACCCTGCCTCTCAGCTCTTCCTTACTAGTATTTCCATCGAAAAGTTAGATCATTTTGACATTACTGTTGGTTGAAAAACTTGAGCTTCAGATAATAGAATACTCCAAACAAATGCATAAAGATGTGTTTTCATATTTAATTTGATCATATATTATGTATATATATTATACATTATCATATATTATTTATCATTTATATAATTTGTATCATTAAAGAGTCATTTAAAGAGTCACTCAGAGTCTGATATATCCTCTCTTCTTCTTGAAGCTGGTTTCTAAAAAACACAATAAAAAATAAATAAAGGCAATAGTAATGCAAATTTTAAAATGAATTTTATACATAATGAAAATAAATGTAAGTTTATTGATTTAATTAAACGAACCAACTTTAAACATGTAGTAGGCATGATTGTTTTATTAGTTATTATTGGTTTTGAACTAGCTGATGAGTTAAGCCCTTTTCAACTGATTTTTATAGTTTGTTCTTATGTTGTACTATAACACCACTGTCCCAGGTAAGGGGGAGGGTTTGGCGACAACAAACTTAGTTTAACCCCGTCACATTCTCTATGTGCCTGTCCCAAGTCAGAAGTAATTTAGTGGTTGTTGTTTGTTGCTGTATATCATATTTGTTTTTCATTCATTGTGTTGTACTTAAATCAAGCCGTTAGTTTTCGCGTTTGAATTGTTTAACATTTTGTCATTTCGGGGCTGACTATGCGGTATGGGTTTTGCTCATTGTTGAAGGTCATACAGTGACCTTTAGTTGTAAACTTCTATGTCATTTGGTCTCTGGTGGAGAGTTGTCTCATTGACAATCATACCACATCTTCTTATTTTAATATAAAAGCAGTTAACTTTATGAATAAAAATAAATTGTTTAAATTGAATATTAGGTCTTGGACAAACACTTTGCCTTCAAGTATCTTAAATAACTCCTCTCTACTTTCTGTTCTGATGACACTTACTGCAAGCAATAAAAAATGTCTACATTTGTAATATAGTATGGCAAATCTCATTTTGAAAAGGTTCATTTAAACATAAAATAGAATACATGTAGAAGAAAATAGAAATCCAACTTGTAGGCAAAATGCGGAAACAGGATCTGTTTTTTTATCTATTAAAAATGAATACTCTGTTTTAGGTTTTGTTACAAACATCTTTCTTATAGATAGTTTTAACATGCAAGCTCATAATGTCATGCAGAGACGCATTTTTCCATTATAATTCAGCAGCAGCAAACATTTCTGAATTCTTTATGTTTATGTCAACTTTTTTAATGTGAATGCACTACAAAATATCATCTACAGGTGGGTGTTTTTGTACAGTGAAATTGTAGGTGAAACTCTAAAATTGTCTCTTAAGATGGTACCCCAACCTCAAAGTGCCTTTTGTGTGTACAAAGTATGTTTAAATGGAACAGCCCTAACTGCAATGTTATCCATGGGAAAATCTAATTTATTGTGGATTTTAAATATAACAGTCAAATATATATATGCAGTGAACACAATCTCTTGGTACTGTTCCAAAATTGATTGTGGTTTGGGGCATGGGATTCACTCAAATCAAATAATTGTGTGTGGTTGTATTTTCCTTTTAATTATAAGTAAAATGAAAATTTTATATCATAGGTGAATGGGGTCTTAATAATAACCCTCCCATGCCAACTCCCACCACCACTTTTCTGCATTTAATTTTCTGTAACGCCCTTACCTAAACAGGTTAAATAACAACAAAATAATAGATCTGATTATAATGATTTTTTTTTAATGCATAATTAGCAACAAAGATTATTAGTAGCATGTGTTTTTTTTATCTGGTCAGTCACAATGGTAACTATAGAGGCTCTCAAGAGCCTGTCGCGCTCATCTGTATCTACTGTGGTTTGGGAAATCATGTAAAATAAGGTTAAAATCATAATAAATAGTATTAGATACCCTAATAATGATTGAAGCCAATTTTGGTTTAATTTGGCCCAGTAGTTCAATCAAAAGCAGAAGATTTTTTAAAAAGTTTACAAAAATTACCAAAAAATTGCAAAAAATGACTTTAAAGGACAATAACTCCAATAAGATGTCAATTGACGATTTTGGTCATGTTGACTTATTTGTGGACCTTTCTTTGCTTGATATTTTTGCTGTTTACAGTATATCTCAATCTATAATGATATGCAAGACAAAAACTGCAAAATTTCCTTAAAACGAGATATCATTGCAAAAGGATGCTGTCATGAAAGTCTCCCAAACGAACATCAATTGAATACCCCTCCTCTCCAAAATTTATTTCACCCAGGGCCTGTATAATGCTGGAAATGCCTTTGTTTTTGGGAACACCCCTTCAAAAAAAATTTGGGCAGGGGTCTCCCTGACCCGCCAGGTCGGGAAGGGCATTCACCCAATATAAGTATGCTGAAAGAGACGATATAATAATGGTTTATAGAAAAGTAACACTGAATAATTCTGAAAATGGAAAATATTAAGCAGAAATTATAAGCACCCCCCTGAAAAAATTGCACCCTCCCATGGAAACAAATCAAGTCATCCCATTGTAGTCTTACAATAGTTACTGAAGACCCCTTATCATTATTTAAATTAGTTTTCAAGTTGTGACCAATTGAAATTGTTTTTTTACAATCATTGACTTCTATAGTAAACCCCTATGTTCTATTTTTAGCCATGGCAGCCATGTTGGTTGGACGGCAGGGTCATCAGATACACTTTTCAATCAAGATACCCTATTAAAAATTGTGGTTTTCAATCAAGATACCCTATTAAAAATTGAGGCTAAGTTTAATTCTATTTGGCCCAGTAGATTAAGTGGAGAAGATTTTTGTAAAAGATTACAAAAATTTACGAAAAATTGTTAAAAATTGACTATAAATTAAGGGCAATAACTCCTTAAGGGGTCAATTGACAATTTTGGTCATGCTGACTTATTTGTAGATCTTACTTTGCTGAACATTATTGATGTTTACAGTTTATCTCTATCTATAATAATATTCAAGATAATAACCAAAAACTGCAAAATTTCCTAAAATTACCAATTCAGGGGCAGCAACCCAACAACGGGTTGTCTGATTCGTCTGAAAATTTGAGGGAAGATAGATCTTAACCTGATTAATATTTTTACCCCCATGTCAGATTTGCTCTAAATGCTTTAGTTTCAGAGATATAAGCCAAAAACTGCATTTTACCCCTATGTTCTATTTTTAGCCATGTCGGCCATCTTGGTTGACGGGCGGGGTCATCGAACAAATTTTTAAACTAGATACCCTAATGATGATTGTGGCAAAGTTTGGTTAAATTTGGCCCAGTAGTTTCAGAGAAGAAGATTTTTGTAAAAGATTACAAAAATTTACGAAAAATTGTTAAAAATTTACTATAAAGGGCAATAACTCCTTAAGGGGTCAATTGACAATTTTGGTCATGTGTACTTATTTGTAGATCTTACTTTACTGAACATTATTGCTGTTTACAGTTAATCTCTATCTATAATAATATTCAAGATAATAACCAAAAACTGCAAAATTTCCTTAAAATTACCAATTCAGGGGCAGCAACCCAACAACGGGTTGTCTGATTCGTCTGAAAATTTCAGGGCAGATAGATCTTAACCTGATGAACATTTTTACCCATGTCAGATTTGCTCTAAATGCTTTAGTTTCAGAGATATAAGCCAAAAACTGCATTTTACCCCCTATGTTCTATTTTTAGCCATGTCAGCCATGTTGGTTGGCAGGCAGGGTCATCGGACACATTTTTTTAACTAGATACCCCAATGATGATTGTGGCCAAGTTTTCAGAGGAGAAGATTTTTGTAATAGTTAACGGACGACGGACGCCAAGTGATGAGAAAAGCTCACTTGGCTCTTTGGGCCAGATGAGTTAAAAATGTGGACAACTCTGTTATGTCTGAGCGTTGTTCATATCAAGGTAAACGTTGACAACTCATATCAAGTTATTTTTTTGCTTTTTAAAACCGTAAAAACACAGGATTGTTAGCTATCATTGGTACAAAGAAGATGTTTCTGTTGATTGATGCACCACTAGTTATTCTTCCAAGATTTCTGTACGAGTGCGGTAATTATTTGATGCCACAAACAGTTTATAATAAAATATATAACAATTTACCTTGTATTTAGGTCCTCCCGGCATATGAGGAGCATGCTTTAACACCTCAATCATGCAATCTTCTATTTCCTGTCTTTTGCACTTGTGCAACTTAAAACATGCTCCTGAAATAAAAAATGATATTTTCATACAAGAGTACACACGCTAAAATGTCTCGCCTGCTTTACTGACCATTGACTTTATGACGAAAGTAAAAAAGACAAAGGTTGTACAACAAGTATCACATAAACTTAACATTTTTAAAGATTCATGACAATAAGGTCAAGGTCAGATTAATCCTGTCAGACAGATATGTACACCTTACAATTATTCCATGCACCATATGTAGCTGACCTATTGCTTATGGTAATTAAAAACAGACCAAAACACAAAAACTTAACATTTACCAATGAACTATAAAAATGAGGTCAAAGTCAGATGATACCTGCCAGACTGACATGTATCCCTTACAATCATTCCATCCACAACATATAGTTGACCTACTGCTTATAGTATCTGAGAAACGGACCTAATCATGCAACTTTATCCTTGATCACTGATACATGAAATGAGGTCAAGGTCTGGTGAAAAACATAAATCCTTAAAGACCTTTTTTTTCTTCTCTTTTCATGTTTCATTCTGTCAGGTGGTTCAGGATACACAAGCTGGATGGATGGAAGGGCCCACAATATACTGCCTACTTCAGAAAGGGGGAATAAACAAGTATTTTGATCTACACCCATAATATATTTGTATCTGGAACAGCCCTAATGTACTTACTTATAAGAACTCTGTACAAGTTATGGTCCTGAAAGACCTTTTTCCCCTTTTTTCCCCTCAAGCTGTACAAAGATAGTATATTGTTAGTCACTGTTTTCTTCAGAATATTTCTCACTGTTTCTAGACATGTCGCTCCTCCAAAAGCAATAAGGAAAGATGCCTATTAGGGAGAAAAAAGAGCAATTTTATTTATATGAGAATAAAAAGGGGAAAAAATATCTTTATTGAATACAAGGATGATCAAAGAAATGTTTCTTCAAACAACTCATATTACTGCTAAAGGAGATAGTTCTATACAAAAACAAACAAACATTAATTAACAATTTTAAGTACTGAGGTAGTATCATGAAGTTTTTTTACAAATTTATAAATTACCACAATATTTTATCATGCAAGACATATTATTCCCCAGTTTTTCTAAAAAAAATTACTGTCCTAATAATGTTATGTAGAAAAAGGATTCAAAATGGGAAATTGAAGCAAATTTCAAAAGGGGAATAATCTAATTATACCTTAAGATCAGTGGGTTCCAGTATTATTTCAAAAATTAATTAGGGGACATCCAATAAGGGATCATAAATTTATTCTTAAGAGAAAGCTCAGAGCTTTTCAAGATTGCTCTTTTCGGCAGTTCATGCAACACAAATTAAATCCATAGCACTTCTATCGATAAAAAAGTATTAAAAGCATTGTGGAGTTATCACAATTTATTTATTTTAATAGATAAGAAATATTTCAATATGACTGAGTTGTAAAAGCATACAAACTTTCATCAAAATCCAAAATATTGCCAAATAAAGAGTATTTTACCTTAATACAATTAAAATAGTTCATTTTCAAATACAATGTATGAGGCTGGCGAAGAATTTTATAATTAAACTATATAGAGTTTTTTTTATTAGGCGATGTTCTAATCTTTTCTGATATAAATATTGTGTATGAATTTGACAGGAAATTATATAAAGACAATTTAATCAAAATAATTTATCCAACTTGTCAAAAGTAGTTTAATGCATGCAGAAGAAGTGAATTATTATAATTATACCAGTTTCTTAAAAATGAATTTAATATCAATAAAAGTATGACAGAAAATCTATCTCCATGTATATTATTCCTTCAAAAAATTACTCTCTTACCAATTTCTTTCTGGACTGCTTCTCCTCCAATTTAATTCCCCATTGGATGAAATCCTCAAGAGAATTTACTGGAGAGGGAAGCAAGTCTTCTATTTCATCATCTACTGCTGCTCCGGAAATGAGGGCAAGCTCTGCCTGGATGTTTTCTTGATTCTTTACCACATGTTTAAGGGTGCTCAATACTATCCGTTCAAAACCTGGAGCAATATAATTTGTAAAAAGGTTAAAAGTTTTATCCAGCCAAGAAAAGCCCCAAGCCCCCCTCCCATGAAAAAATCAAAAAGAAAACAAGAATGTGTCCATAGTACACGGATGCCCCACTCGCACTATCATTTTCTATGTTCAGTGGACCGTGAAATTGGGGAAAAAAATCTAATTTGGCATTTAAATTAGAAAGATCATATCATAGGGAACATGTGTACTAAGTTTCAAGTTGATTGGACTTCAACTTCATCAAAAACTACCTTGACCAAAAACTTTAACCTGAAGCGGGACAGACAGACGAACGAACGGACGCACAGACCAGAAAACATAATGCCCCTACTACTATCGTAGGTGGGGCATAAAAAAGAAAAGAAAAAAGGAATGTTAGTCAGACTTGCCTGATATGGATTGTATAAACCAAATATTGAAAACTGCTATGAGAATAAGATGCCAAAAAACAGTTGACTAGTTAACCTTATTAAGAATTTCTTATTTAACATATCAAAAAAACAACTTGTAAGAAATGCAGGGGCCTTGGTGGCCGAGTGGTCTAAGTAGTCGAACTACTGTATCACTAGCCTGTCAACACAGAGGTTGTGAGTTCCAATCCAGCACGTGGCAGGTGCGCTCGACTCCAATCTTAATTGACTAGGATTGTCAGTTTTCCTACCTTAGGTCGGTGGTTCTCTCGGGCTTCCTCCACCAATAAAAACTGACAGCCACGAAATAGCACAATAGTGCTGAAAGATGCGTTAAACACCAATCAATCAATCAATCAATGTAAGAAATGCAAACTTTTCAAATTCAGTGGACATTGGGATAGGCAGGATAAATTCGATGTAAAGGAAATGCTACAAAGCTACTACAACTTTATACACATTATCACAGACTTATCATAAATAGAAGACTTAGGCATAAAACTTAGGCCAAATCAACCAATACTGTATATAATATGTAGTTTTTAGAACTACCAATTAAGTAAATTTTTGAGATAAAAACCATAATTTTACACGGATGAATGTTCATTAAATTTCTATATTCATGTGTGGGGCAGAAAAAAAGTATCTGACCATAAGTTATGTATTTTCTAACTAATTATAAACTGTTCATTAATGAACTTAATTGTGTCATTTCACAAAATTGTTGTGACACTATTCCTTAGATGAATTTGAATAAAACATATAACAAATATTTGAACTATATTACTTTCCAAGGCTGTTTTTTTTGCAGAAATTACCTGCATTTCTTTCAATATTACTTACTGCTTGTGTTTTCTGGTAAATTTAATCGACCTTCCTCTGGTAGATCTGGGAGTATGCGAATTTCTCTCCGTCTTTCTTTCCTTCCTATGACAGATATTAACATTTTAAGATGAAATGCACTTTTTAAGTATTTTTTGGGTCAAATTAAAAACTTATAAACTAAAACTATAAAAAAACCTACAATTTCAAGGCTTTATAAAAATACATGTGTTTCGATCAACTTGATCAACACAAATTTTTAGTACCTACCCAAGACTTTTTTCATTATGGAACAAGCAATATTAAAATCAGACTATTTCAACTGTAAAAACCATGCAATTAATATTTTTTAAAATCATTTGCCTGCCTGTGGACCCTCATTTTTATTCAGAATGTTTGTGGGAACACAGATATTACTTTTTTAATCTTTGTAGAACATATAGTAGGTGTTACTTATTTTGGTTTGTATAGAAGTGAAAGAAAGATATATTATGCCAACATTAACAAATAAAAAAATCCTTTTAAATAATTTGTTGATACAGAGATATGTTTCACATGCATATAATTTATAGTAAAATGCAAATGTTGATATTAAAATGACAGTAATTTAACATGTAAAGTATGCAAAACACCATTGATATTAAAATGACAGTAATTTAACATGTAAAGTATGCAAAACACCATAAATCAATGAATCATGACTGATGGTTCAGGGCCAAATCATCTCCATGATTAATGTGTGCATCACTATATACCCACCCTCTTTTGAGACAGGGGTATAATTACCATGCAACATAATATTCTTTATAAACATACTTTCTAAGTTTTCCAATGCATATCAACTTAACTATTTTAGCTGACTTCATAAGAATAAGCAGGATATTAAGGTAGATCGGGTGTCTTTTTCTGAGCATCCCTTCGGGGCATGTTGCAAAAATACTTTTTTGTTTTAAAAATATTTTACCAAGTAGCATTCAATATACAACAAAATACCTAAACTTGAAATTTAAAGATTAAACTATCAAAAAATTAAGTGTCGTAAAGTATATTTAAAATTTCCAGAAAAAAATCCTTTTAAAATCAAGGGCAGATAATTAGACTGAATTTGATAGGACAATTTGTGTTTTGGGATTTTTCAAGAAAATAAGGCTGTGACCCCCCATCTTTATTTGATATTTCGGAAGTATTAATGAAAAGCAATTCTCTCATCGAATTTTAGCCAATTCTATCGTTTAATGTTTCCTCGATAAGGAAAAATTAAGTTTCCAGATTCCTCTATATAAACAATATAAAAATAACCCCAATTTTGTTAATTTCAATGTATTTTAACGAAAAAACAAGATCCGTGACCCCCAGTTTTAGTATTGAAATTTGAAAGTACATTGACCCAGAAGTCTTTTACTGACCTTTAAGAAAAATCTATAGTTGAACATTTAGACACCCCAGCTACCTTAAACTAAAACTAACTTGACTTAACCATGGTACTACCATTTAAAACAACTTACACATTGTTTGAATTTCCATATTCAATTTTAAAAGAATTTGAGAGATTGTTTCCAGACTGCATTCTATGGCATTGTCAATGTGTTCTCCTCCTGAATGTGTATGAAATACTAGCCTTGTGATGTTAAGCAACTGACAATCAATTGAGTGCATGTTACACTGAATTAGACAAATACAAAATTAATAAATGCAGAATATATCATTGGTGTGATTTTAAGGTACAAATGTATTTACAAAAGAAACTGGGATACCATTACAATCAAAACCATTACATACATGTATCTTCCACACTATGATAAAGATATTATGTTCTGTAAAATCTTACTTTCTGAATTTCCTAATGGCATGATAGGTGTACTTTGGCTATCCTGCTGATGATCTAAAAAATAATAAAATCATTAGATTTATATCATGCATATCAGTTGTAAAAACTTTTAATACCTGAGAGTTCCCTGTCTGATAAAGAAAAAAAGAATAAATCCCTGACTTCAGATATTAATATTAAGAAAGAATAAAAGAATAATGATTTTTAATAAAAATTATTTGAAGTTTAACAATCAGTTAAGGTAGGTCGGGTGTCTTTTTCTGAGCACCCCTTTTGGTCATGTTGCAAAAAAAAAAAAAAAAAAAACTTTTTTGGTTTAAAAATATTTTACTAAGTAACATTCAATATACAACAGAAACATCTAAAACTTGAAATTTAAAAATTAAACTATAAAAAAAAATGAATGTTGTAAAGTGTATTTAAAATTTTCAGAAAATAATCCTTTTAAAATCAAGGGCAGATAATTATATTGAACTTGATAGGACAATTTTTTTTTTGTATTTTTCAAGGAAATAAGGCCTGTGACCCCCTATTTTTATTTGATATTTCGGAAGTATTTATGAAAAGCAATTCTTTCATTGAATTTTAACCAATTCTATAGGTTACTGTTTCCTCAATAAGGAAAAATTAAGTTTCCCCCATATAACCCATATAAAATAAATCTGATTTCGTTAATATCTGTTTTTTTTAAAGAAAAAACAAGGTCTGTGCATGACCCCTAGTTTTTATCTTGAAATTTGAAAGTATGATAGTATATCAACCTAGAAGTCTTTTACAGAAATTTAAGAAAAATCTATTGTCGAAGATTTAGACACCCCAGCTACCTTAAATATGCAGCAATGACATAACAGTAAAACCAACAAGTTTTCATATTCAATCTTTTTTTTTAATCTGAATTTCCCGAGCATAGTTCCTCAATTGATTGTTTTGGGTGGTGGGTCAGAAGGAACTTAATATTAAATTTGGATGGCTGGTGATTGTTTAAGAAAAATACCCTTACCAATAAATTAAAACGTCATGTATGGTCAAATTAAGTGCATCCCAACCCCAAATACATTCATTTCTGGGCATTTCTGACTTTTGTCTATTGCACTAATTTATTTTGTTCTCCTGAATGTGCATGAAATACTAACCTTGTGATGTTTAGCAACTGACAATCAATCAATCTTGAGTGCATGTTACACTGAATTAGACAAATTAGACAAATACAAAATTAATAAATGCAGAATATATCATTGGTGTGATTTTAAGGTATTTACAGAAAAAACTGGGATACCATTACAATCTAAACCATTACATACATGTATCTTCCACACTATGATAAAGATATTATGTTCTGTAAAATCTTACTTTCTGAATTTCCTAATGGCATGATAGGTGTACTTTGGCTATCCTGCTGATGATCTAAAAAATAATAAAATCATTAGATTTATATCATGCATATCAGTTGTAAAAACTTTTAATACCTGAGAGTTCCCTGACTTATAAAGAAAAAAGAATAAATCCCTGACTTCAGAAATTAATATTAAGAAAAAACAATAATGATTTTTAATCAAAATTATTTTAAGTTTATCAATCAGTTTGTGGTGGGTCAGAAGGAACTTAATATAAAATTTGGATAGATGGTGGATGTTTTAGAAAAAATTGCCTGAACAATAAATTAAAACGATATTAAAGCCTTATATGTTCTGTTAAATCTTACTTTCTGAATTTCCTAATGGCATGATAGGTGTACTTTGGCTATCCTGCTGATGATCTAAAAAATAATAAAATCATTAGATTTATATCATGCATATCAGTTGTAAAAACTTTTAATACCTGAGAGTTCCCTGACTTATAAAGAAAAAAGAATAAATCCCTGACTTCAGAAATTAATATTAAGAAAAAACAATAATGATTTTTAATCAAAATTATTTTAAGTTTATCAATCAGTTTGTGGTGGGTCAGAAGGAACTTAATATAAAATTTGGATAGATGGTGGATGTTTTAGAAAAAATTGCCTGAACAATAAATTAAAACGATATTAAAGCCTTATATGTTCTGTAAAATCTTACTTTCTGAATTTCCTAATGGCATGATAGGTGTACTTTGGCTATCCTGCTGATGATCTAAAAATAATAAAATCATCAGATTTATTTCATGCATTTCAGCTGTGAACACATTTATATATATATTTTTTTATTTCCTATCAAATATTTATCCTAAAATTCTGATTCAAAGCACAGTATCTATAATTTGTCTTTTGTACTCAATAAACAATGCTAAGGTTTGCTCAATTTAAAATAGAAATTCCACTGATTCAACTAAAAGTGTAAAACAAATGCAGGTCAAAAGGAAGTAGAGAATTTCACTTACTAAGTACTGATGCATTTGGAGTCGAAGCTTTTTTCAGTTTTTTTCTTTTTGAAACATTCATTTCCTCTTCATCTATGTAGACAATAAAAAAAGAAATTGTGTTAATACAGGTCTATGATAACTATACAAATACTCTTCACTTATGAAATTATATGTACAAACTGCATGAGGACAGTCTTAGGCTTTTGACATTAAATTAAATTGTTGACACAGATATGTCATGTATGTCTCATAGATGTTCAATTAAATTTCAAAGAGACATAACTCTTGTAACAAGAATAGATCAGAGCTCATTTTCAAACTCACCCAAGACATTACGAATATAAACCTATGATATAAATTTCATTACAAGAAAAGTAGGTGTGAGAGTGCTTACAATGCAAATTTCTATATAACTGATTTTTCCAAGGGGCATGACTCTTTTAAAAATAGTTAATTGGCACTGATTTTCGAACTTGTAACACAATGGATAACCTACCAAATTTTACAAACCCTTTTGTTTTGAAATATAGTTAAACTAATTATGCTCAGATTGGACATTTGTAACTGAAAAAAGTATTAAAAAATATAATATAATTTACCATGTTTAAAAAATGCAAGGCATGCACATACATACTTCTTAAATCTTTATTCTTACCATCTGCATCACTTTTGGAATCTTGTTTTTCAAAGTTTTGTTGTTTGGTTCTTTGACCTCGTCCCATTTCTTCATTATCGTCACTTGACAAGTTTGATGTGTATTGCGCATCCCTGCACATCTGGATTGCACTTTCATATGTATCTGAAAAATATGGTGGTGGATATTGTACAGAAATGAACAGTAAAACAGAAGTAATTGCTTAACTGCAAAACAAGGCTGTTCAAGAATATTATGTTTGGCAAGGGGTGACACTGACTTAATTATTAATTTGATGTTTCAAGGTCAATTAGAAAGATTGTCTTAAAAAATTATTTGAATATTATGAATTTTGTCTATTTGAAAGATGCAGTCCAATTTTATGCTTCACAGATCAAAATGAAAAATTCATAGAACTTAAAGAACTATTGAAAGTACTTATCCATCATGTTCATCCTATTCACTGCTTACTTAGTGTTGTAGAAGGTTTTTCGGAAGACATGAATATTTTATTTATATGTACAATAATTGGCTTATTCCTAAGACCAAAACAAAATATAGGTGTGTTTCCTGTCAGCTACCCTATTTAGACAAGAGTGCACACGCTGAAATGTCTCGCCTGTTTTACTAACCATGATTGGTTTTATGTTGATAGTCCTAAAGATAAAGTTTTACTACAAGTATCACATAAACTTAAAATTATCAATGATCCATGAAAATGAGGTCAAGGTCATATAAACCAAGGCAGACATACATGTACACTTTACAATCATTCCATGCATCAAATATAGTTGACCTTATTGCTTATAGTATCTAAGAAGCAGACTTAAACAGGAAAACTTAACACTGACCAATGAACCATGAAAATGAGGTCAAGGTCAAATGACACCTGCCAGTCAGACATGTACACCTTACAATCATTCCATACACCAAATATAGTTGACCTATTGCTTATAGTATTAGAAAAACAGACCAAAACACAAAAACTTAACATTGACCAATGAACCATGAAAATGAGGTCAAGGACAAATGACACCCGCCAGACAGACATGTACACCTTACAATCATTCCATACACCAAATATAGTTGACCTATGGCTTATAGTATTAGAAAAACAGACCAAAACACAAAAACTTAACATTGACCAATGAACCGTGAAAATGAGGTCAAGGTCAGATGAAACCTGCCAGACTGACATGTATCCCTTACAATCATTCCATACACCACATATAGCTGACCTACTGCTTGTAGTATCTGAGAAACGTCCTAATCACGTAACTTTAACCTTGATCACTGATCCATGAAATGAGGCTGAGGTCAGGTGAACCCTGTCTGATGGACATGTAGACGTTGCAAGGAACCCATATACCAAATATAGTTATCCTATTACTCATAATAAGTGAGAAATTTACATAACAAAAAAACTGTAATTTTTTTTCAAGCAGTCGCTGAACCATGAAAATGAGGTCAAGGACATTGGACATATGACAGACGGAAAGTTCGTAACATAAGGTATCTGCATACAAAGTATGAAGCATCCAGGTCTTTTACCTTCTGAAATATAAAGCTTTATACAAATAGTTTACGCCGCCGCCGGATAGTAATACCTATGTCTCACTTTCTGCGACTTTCGTCGCAGGCGAGACAAAAACCTGTATATTTTTGTAGGCTTAATTATAACATTATATTAAGTTACCTGTGTAGTGAAGTATTCTAATAGAATACTTTACCCACTTCTCCTTGTCTGCAATTTCGGCCTTTCTGGCCTTCAATGAAACATTTGTCCTAGGCCAATAACAAAACATACCCTACAAAAAAATATATGAACCAACTCTAAATTGCTAGATAAAAGTCAGATTATTATTTTTGTTTTTGTTTTTGTTGTTTAAATTCTACTTATTCCAAGATGATTACCTACTTCCTCTATTCAATTATATTTCCCTTCACTGTTTTTAGGTTTTTCCTTTAGTCATTCATCTGACATATAGCATATCAATTTTCTTCTTCTTTTGCCAAATGTTTGCCAGTTTTGCAAGATTATTGAAGATGTGGATTAGGTATTTGATACATAATATGATAGCTTATACGCTTTTGAAACTTACACCGTTTAACAGAACACTTTTCTCATAGATATATTTATTTTCTAGTTTATCATGCATTAGTCTTGCATAACTTTAATTAATATTAAAAGCTCTAGTCTCTAAGTTGGGTTTTATTAGGAATCGTAAAATTGGACAAAAGGATAGGTATGGCCCTTTTTCTAGGGTGAGAAATAGTTATGTACAGTCTTCACAAGAAACCTTAAAATTGTCTACTTTAACTTACATCTGGTTTGCTATCCAACCATCCCTGGTGTACAATTGCTACTGATGGTGGATCATCATTTGTGAATTCTACTACTGCATATGAAAAAGCCATAGATCTGTAAAATATAAAAAAAAAAATCATGGCTGCCTCAAAGCAACATGTCAACATATAACGTAAATTGACATAAGTATTCGTCAGTATGAGGTTTTTTCTATATTCTGCTCGAGTTTTTTAAATCTTAAAAATTATAAATATTATAAAAATAGATTTACGCGACGACTGTAATCAAGTAAGGGTAAATAACGCAAACGATAGCGAATAAAAGCGTTAAGAACCCATGTTTTTGGCATATAATTGGGTTTTCCTTTGAATTAATTGGGTTATTGAACCCTGCAATGGGCAATTGCATTGGGTTTTTAATTATTTTTATTGCGTGATCACGCAAATACGCAGCTTATCTGGAGCTCTGGTATGGCATGTACTTAGTTCATCAGCTTGTTTTATATTTTGGATGTGTTTTTCAACTTTGCTGAGTGGTATGTTTTGAAAATCTGACTAAAGTTCAGAACACTAAACAAATAAAAAAAAATAAGTCATTTCCTAAATAAGTAAGAAAATGAACACTAAATTTGACAACAGCAGAACATTTCGATTATCCCTTACCATATTAAAAGTCATGCAGTATAGCTAAGACAACAATATTGCTCTCATTTTCCTTATTAATCAAAATTGCTTGTTTTCCCAGTTTTTTAGATTGTACATGTTCAACAGTAGAAAATCTTTTGTCAAAACTATAAACTCCTATCATTCTTGAATCACATGGTGTATGGAAATAGGCTTGATTTCTTGAGTATACTCTGCACAACATTAAAGCATTGCCGTCTTCATCATGATTATTTGTTTCTGATAATAACTGACAGAACCTGTTTTGTCCAATTAAGTAAGCATTGTCAGATTGCTGAGATGAGACTTTTATTTCATTTTGTTTTCTTTGCGCATCCATGCTGACTAAATACGTCTGTGATTCTTTAATTCTTTTCACTATCTGGGTTAAAGGTTTCTTTCCCGACCGCACCATCTTTTTTAACCTTTGCAAATAATTTTCAAATTCAAATGCTCCACAATTATCAAGACCTCCATATTTTTCAGCATCGTCAGAAATGTGAAGCATACTATGGACATTGTATACAAGGAACTCTTGACCATAAAGGTTTCTGCCTTCATTAACAAAGAAATTTAATAGATTTCGTGCATAACTAACATGTTCATTCACTAAACGTGGAGATACTAAAATGCATATAGCTACACTCAAAGACATAAAATGAGCATATAAATCAGGTCGTAAAATTCCTTTTAAAACTATTTTCCCAGTGTATAATAAAAATTGCCTGAATTCAGTTGCCTTCCATCTGTCTATTTCATACAAGCTTCTGGGTTTACGAGCAAATTGTTTTGGAATAAATTCAGCTAACTGTACCAACTTTGAACTTATATCTTGAATGTTTTGAGCTGACATCCTTATGCGTCGTGACCCTTTCCCCCTCATCCACAATAGAAGAAGTCGTTTCATAACACCAAGACACGCTTGGTGCATGTAATCAATAGGGAATTGATTAATCATGTCTATATTTAATTGACAAAAAGGGGAATGTCTGTGATGGTGTTCTTCTTGATCTTGATTTCTGAAACTAACGTCTGTTCTAAGTTGCATATTCTCAGTATCTTGGTATGTGATACGTCCACACCAGAAACCAGTTTGATTACATCTGTCACAACCATAATATCCACTAAATAACTTTATCCCTTTCATCATTGCTTTTGCAGGTGCATCACATACTACACATCTAAGCTTCACTCTTACTTCTTTACCGTTAAATTTAAAGCCATTTTGTAATAAAGAGTCCAATTCATCTATTGCTTCCTGTAGAAAATCAAGATTAGTAGGTTTTGAAGGACCTATTGTTAAAACATGAGGAAATACTCTTCTTGGTTGTAAGTGAATTTCACATAAAATTGGCCACAATGCTGTATTTGTACTTTTAAAAAGAGGAAGACCATCTATGTTCAGAGAAATATCTACGGATTCAACATTATCTGTTACCATCTTTGGATACTGTCCAAATGTTTTCAAAAGTTCAATTTCAAGTCCAAAATTATAATAATCCATTCCAGATATATTTGTTGTCTCAACTTCTCTAACTGTTTTCAACAAAGTACGACACGTTCCTGGCAAGTTTTGATGACCATGCTCTTTTAAAATTTTCAAGAGGGCATCAACAGCATTATGATTTACTTGAAATGTGTTAGTCCATACAGCCAGTTCTTCTAACAGAGTATCATCCTCATCTGGATTAAAATCAGTATCAGTGTCAACAGACAAAGTTTCAAATTTCTCAACAGAATCCCAATCTATATCAGGTAAACCACTTGAACTATTATCTGACTCCAGCTCATGACCACCTTCATCAGAAGGTGATAAATTTCCTTCTGTAGTCATGGTAGTCATTGGTTGACTAGTTGAAGGTAAATCCACTGAATGCAAGTTTTGTAAAGCGCACTTATTTGCTTCCAAGTTACTCATGTTACTACATGTACTAGCAGAAAGGAATTCACATTCTTCGTCACTACTGGAAAAATGACTTTCAGCAGAAATTCTTGCTTTCTGTCTAGCATTCGCAATCCATTTTCTTTTGTATTCGTTCCTCTTCCTCTTCTTATCAGACATCCTGTGACAATAAAAGTTAAAAAAAACTTATACTAGGGAGGTCAGAAAATTTATGTTTTAAGACTCTAATAGAGAATTTATAAGAAGCAGTTGATTCGTAAGTAGAATATAGTTTCCGGATCCACTCCTGCTGAGAAATTCTCTAGCTTAACACATTTCTGGTAAAAGGACTGTCTACCATTTGACCATAAATCAAGGAAATTTCATATTCTATTCTTTGAAAGTCATAAATAATTGTATCCACACGGTTCACGTCTATATTTGGGCATTTGACAAGTTAACAAAAGCTAAATTTAACTTACAATATAATAATAGTAATACATCTGGTACATGTTGACTCTGCCATTGTTCAGAGAGTATAAAGTATATTCAATCATAACCATGATAACTGAGACATTTTGTGTATAAAATAAGATAAAGGCAATTATCAGCTATTAATATACAACAAAAAATAATTATTTGAATGTGTAGAGTCATTTGTGCTTTACATAGTTTTGAATGTATATATATATGTTAATTTCATTTTCAATTCAACTCGCCTTTAATTACCCAAATATAGTTTTTTTGGCCCCAATGGCTCTGCATACTTTAATTATTCCAGATTTTTGTTTGAAATTATCTTCATTAGACTGCCATACCAAGATCTGACAGTTTCACTCAGACCTAAGCTCTTTTGTGCATGTTGTGGGCAATTGTGTTAAAAAAAACCATGAAATTAGAAAATTCCCAATTGTTTGTGGATATCTCTTTCTTTTAACTTGACGTCTTTCACGTTTGGACGGGTCCATCATCTATGAGATGAAAAATTGTACGGAATTATGACAAAAAAGAAAAACAAACTTATTGTGAGGCCTTTTTAACATAGGCTTTGATCCACAAACAATATTTCAAGGTCAGTTTAATGATTGTCTACTTTTAGAAACTCAAACACTATGGATTATTTTAAGATTTTATTTTTTTTAGAACACAATGTGTAATCATTTCTGATAATGTTTTAACATGCTAAAATAATGCATTTTATTTCAGGAAAATCCTGCTACGCAGATATTTTTATTTATATTTCAGGGAAAATTTATTTCTTAGGGTCGGTGGGAATAAAAAAGCATGAAATGTCTGATTTTTTTTCTGAAAATCGGAAAAATTTGGTCGGCGGATATGTAAACCAACAAATTAAAAAAAACTCTTGCCTTAGGTTAACAGAACTGTCTTATATCTGAACTCGTCCTGAACATGAATGAAATATTTGCTACTGGACGTTAAGCAACCAACAATCAATCAATCTTATATCTGAAAAATATTATAACTGCAAATTTAAGACATGTAAGATAATATATATCAGTAACTGACTTTAAGTTCAAGCTCCATATGGTTAAATAACAGCAAGTGCAAAGAAAATAAGCAAGTAATGATAAATTTAATATTAATCAATGACTTGTAAAATCTCTACCAATTAATTATAATTATAACAGGTAAACCATCACACATTGTTCTTAAATATTCATTTAGGTGCAATCCAATATTGTGTAAATATAAATATAAAAAATATGTAGATATACATATACATCAAAATGAACAATCATAGTGTTATAAGGTAACCCAAAACCACATTTATATAATAATCAAGTCTAATAAAAGAACACAGTTCCAATGTCCCCGGCGTTGCACATATTTTATCTATTCAAGGGCAAAAAAATTTTATTGTTTGGTTCTTTAAATTTTTTATAAATATCTTAAGAGAAATGAAGGCTTGAGAGCAAATACAATGCAATTTCCAATAAATACATAATATTTCCAAGGGGCATAACTCTTTTAAAAATAATTGATCGGGACCAATTTTCGAACTTGTCTGAGACATTGCTGATATAAACCTATGATATAAGTTTCATAAAAATCTGGCAAGAATTGTACAAATAAGAGCACTAACAATGCAATTTTCAATATAATGAATATTTCAAAGGGGCATAACTCTTTTAAAAATAATTAATCGGCACTGATTTTCGAACTTGTCCAAGACATTGTTATTATAAACCTATGATATAAGTTTTATGAAAATCTGGCAAGAATTGTACACTTGAGAGCGCTAACAAGATCGGACGGACAGACGCCCGGTATTTCTATGTCGCGAGGGGCACAATAAATCTTAAGAGCCTGAATTGCTCACCTGGAAAAAATATGCCATTTTATATTCTAGTTTTACCTTTATTGAAATTAGTTAAATACTATCTTGTAGATCTTGTTTTGCTGATCATTTTTGCAGTTAATAGTTTCTAGTACCTATCTATGTTACTTTTTGCGGCTTAGTACATGTATTGGGAAAAAAGCAAAAATATTTTTTGTATATATTTTCAAGCGAAGCATACACCCACTCATAATTCAAAGTATCGGAAAAC